GCTTCCCCCGCAGAGCCCTTCCAGGACCTGAGCCGGCTGCAGGAGACGTGGCTCACGGAAGGTAGGCTCCTTCCCTCGCCCCGTTGCGGCTCGTTCGGCTCTCGGTTGTTGGCCCTCCGAGGCGGGCCCGGCTCCGCGCCGCCGGGGGCTCGGACCCGCGGCCCCGGCCCGGGCGAGCGCAGGCGCCTGAACCGCGCCGTTGTGCGGCGTTTGCTTGGGGCCGGCGCCGGGCTCTGGCCCGCTCGCCCGGTCACAGCTTTCGATCCAGCTACTTGTAACTGCTTCGATTTTATGCTAATTTGTCACTTATCTTTGTTGGTTGCCAGAACGTTGTCGCTGGGTTTTTTTATGCAAACCATAACCTATTCTTTTAATTTGGGGAACAAAGTGCTTAACTTTTTTTTTCCCTCTTTTTAAAGAGAATTCTTTGAAGGGACCTTCCTGGAATTTACACGCCGTTCACTTTGGTGTCTAAATTGCTTTGCCTCTTGACTTCAAGGAAGAGAAAACTTAAAATCCCAGGGAGTCCCCTTAATTCCAAGTGGAACTAGTTTTGAACAGTATGGTGAATTTACCCTAATTCCACTACTACAAATGATCCATTTTCTAGAAGGTGCAAAACATATCCTCAAGTACAGACTCTCGATAAATATAAAAGTACTTACTGTGATATAGGTACTGAGCAAATATTTAACAATAATAATAGAAAAATATGTATGGCATTTTGAGCAGGGTTATTTCCCTTAATTTTACCAGAAGCAAAGGACAAACCTGTCAAACAGTTTCTTTTTTTGAGCCTCCAAAAAGGTATTTGCCAACTGAGTAAGATTATCAAGGAGAAAAATATCACATGTTTTATGTTGATCTCAAACTGAGATGAGGTTACGGTCAGCAGGCAGCATTCCGGAGGGCGAGGACTGTAAGGATGCAAGAGGAACGACCTGGAGGCTGCTCCAGGGTCCAAACGCCCAACTTCCATCAGAGCAGGGAAACGGGCACCGACCGCTGTCACCCAGCCGAGCTGCCGACCGCGGGCGCTTGGGACCCCTTTCTCCTAAATCTTCAAAACTCTCGAGCTGCCAATAGGATAAGTTTGCCTCAGAACCGATTTCTGGGAGACGTTCCGTGTTAGGCTTCCTCATGTTTGGTAACGTTTTCAGCTCGCTACCCTAAGAGTCTGCACGGCCTCTCTTCGGTGCGTTTGTGGGTGGCAGAGTGTTGGTAGGAGGAATTCCTGAGCGCCCTGGAGCGAAGGCAGGGCCACGCAGGGCGGCACGGGGAGAGGCAATCTTCTGCTGTTACGCACCTTTAGGGAATGATAATGCAAACCCTAGTGCGTGTCTTTAGCATACAGGCAGATACCTTTTTTGTTGTTTTTTTACAGCATCTAGTCAGAGCCCAAGTGAAATCTCTGGGAAATTCAATGTGTGTTTTAATATTCTGGCTTATGATTTTAGTCCATGTATACTATCTTTCTTTTTTCATATATACTATACTTTCTCCCATGGTGTGACTCCTGTTTCCAGAATTTTAACAAGAAAAGTTGCCCTCTGAAGCAAACTATTGGCTGTTTTTCGGTATTCACCAGTATGTTACACTATTTTCCTGAATGGTGAAAATAATTTTTTTTTCATTAGTGTCTTGTACATGTCTCTATGTTAGCATTTGTTCATGAGACGAAGGCACCTGAAAACTTAGGAGTACCTTCCTAAACAATGCAGAAGAAAAAGAAAAGAGAGTGAAAATATGAAACGTCATTTATTCTCTGCCTCTACCACATTTAGTTAAGAAATTTAGCTATTTTATTTTATTATTTTATTTACGGTTCTTGGCGTTACTTTTGAAATAAAAGAGAAACAAACCTAGGAAGGAAGAAATCTGGAAACATAAATTCACAACAAACAATCAGCCATACGAAAAACGTTAACAAATTTAAACCACGTATACGTGCGTATCTGTCAATATAGAGATTTGTGTGAGTTCATTCACAGGGGCATCTCTTCGTTAGCTTTTTAGAATATTTTTAATAGTGTCAATTAACACTTGACTTCTCCTTTGCAGGGTAAAGGAATAATGTCTGCATATAGATGACTCGTAAAAGAAACAAATGCTGAAAAATCCTAGGCCTTGTTACTAAAAAGCTAAAGTTTTCCTCCCCACCATTTTTACCAGAATCTGTTAGAACACGGTGATGTGAAGCTGGCAGCTGATAACTGGATGGAACTAATTTCAAGCCAAATAATTTATAAAAGTGATTTGGCATTCAGAGAAACAAAAAAAACTTCCGTGGAGGGAAGTGGCCGAGGCAGCCGCTCTCCATGCGGATTGCGAGGAGGAGAGATGTGCTTCGTCTGCCCTTAGTCGGAAGGCTTTAGCGGTGGTGCCCCGGCCTTGCAGCGGCGCGGGAGCTGGAGGCGGACCTTGATGCGTGCAGTCTGCGTGCCTGGAATAAGCCTGGGCTGGGGCTTTAAATGTCTGATTAGGGACCCCGGGTATTTTAAGTATAGATGCTGGTTTGGGGAGGACAAGAAAACGTCCATCTGTATTGCAACTATATGAAGCAGATAATGAATATACAAATTTAAACGTCCTTCTGGCAACTGGCACTTCAGCCTTCTCATACAGGGCTGTAGCTGCCTGCAGGCATCACCGTCCAGCAGCGAGGCCGCACGCTCTCCCTCTAGCCGTGCCCTTCGTTCACATCTCCCCCGTGGTCCGTTGCTTTTGGTACGTAATTCTCTTAGCGAGACTGTCAGCAGCGCGATAGGCAGTAGTAGCCTCAAGGCAGTAGGCTGGGAAATCCAAACTCGGCTCATACGATGTGATCCCCGTTACTTCTTCTATTACAATGTTGCTTTTTAAAGATAATTCGTAAAATGAATTTTGTAGGTTTGGTTTATTTTTTCTGTTCCCCGCCTTTTATCGTTTATATTTGCAGTTTGTTGTCACGCAGGTTATTTTAAGGAAGAGTGATTGCAGTGCAAAGGGCTTGGCTAGTTCCTTTCTAATCCACTGCCTGTTGCTCATGCAGCGTTATTCCCTAGCGTTTATTTTTGGCGTGTCTTGCCTAGCTTAGCTGCAAGTGACTGAGATTAGTGGGCTTCCGTGCCTCACCTCCCTTTGCTTTGACCACATCGCCTTTGCTTTAGAGCTGAGAGTGCAATCTTGTGTCCGCCCTGCAATAACAGAAACTCTGGGCTTGTCTGGTACGTACCAGCAGCAGCGTTCCTTTCAGCAACAGTTTGTGAGAGATTTTGTGAAATAACAACCTGCTGCAAGCTCTCCCTTCCTGCAGTAAAAGGGACGTGACAGTCATTGTTAGAAGTAATAAAGTACTCTAACGCGACATGGGCTGTGGTTAAGGGTCTCCCACGGTTCCTCCCAGGGCACCCCCAAAAGCTTCCTGCTCGGTAGACCCGAATTTGCCACATTCGGTGCTGTCTCTGGGTAACGGAGGCCTGCGGAGGGGGTGGGCTGAGGCCACGTCTGAGCTAGGCTCTGCGCGATAGAGAAAAAACAGTTGTGTATTAAAACACGGCTAAACTCTGATTAGTAATGCGTTCTGACACCAGGATGGCGTGCCTCTTGCTTCCTTAACACCTCTTCTTTCTGCAGTAGGGAAGAATGCAAAGGTATTTGTACATAAATACAGACGCTGCTGTTGGAGGAAGCCAGATCGGATCACTTGCTTTGGCGTCCTGTCGCTTAAGGATGCGATTGTGAGCTGCGCTCCACAAAGCCGTACGCTCTAGAGCGCGTGCGGGCTGCCCCAGAGTACCGCTCTGCCCTGCTCGTGTCCCTCTTGCAAAGGAAAGATAGGCACAAGCCGTCTTGTAGAACGGGGCAAGCGTGCATGATTATATTTACAGTCGGAAAATCTGAATGAATTGTTCCCTCTGTGAATGTGTGAGGGCAATGTTGATTAAAGTCCTTCTCGGAGAATAAGGGAAGCAGGAGCTAGAGGAGACTGTGTTGCTGATTCCTCTGTGAATCAGAAAAGCACTCATTACTTACACACTGTGTCAATGCAGGAATTTTAGGATAATAGCACTACGGACTATTATAACATTTGATTTTGTATGTTGGAATAATCTCTCAAGGACACACCTGTCTACCTTGCTGAGTCAACCTGTAGGTGAAGAAGGACAATAAAATTCTTTGTCTCCCACCGTGCCATTTCCTTGCTTTATTACGTATGTTGCAATGGCTTCAAGGCAACTCCGAGCTGGGCCGAGGCCGCGCTGTGGCGGGGGGTCCATGAACAGAATGGCCTAAGCTGGAGATCAGAAGAGGCAGGCAGCCATGTGTCGGCAGGTGAGGAATCTGCGTGAACGATGCTGGAAGGGTCAGCAGAGCTGCCAGTCGTCACCAGGTACCAGCTCCCAACCACTGCTGCACCTTTCATAGGCATCACAGGAAGAAGAATCCTGATATTTTAATTTAAAATAAGTATTTACTCCAGGAAGCGATGAAACATACTGCGAAGTACATAGTGAGACTCTTCTAGTGCCTCTGTTTTTGGATGCTGTGCGAAACTCTATCCATGTGGGCTTTACAGCTTCTGCAAAGTCTAGTCTTTCACGTAAATCGGGACAAATACGAGCCCCTGAGTTATGAAGAGGCATCAGCTTATAAAGCGTGCTGCTGGCTTTTCAAGTCAGCAGACAAACACCCATGAGCCCCTCCGGTTTGTCTAAAGGAGGCATTAAGCCTGAAGCTTCTTAATATTGCGGTGCCAGTGTCGTTAACTATTTCCCAGCTTAGCACGTGCAGCCAGGTCCTGTTCCAGCGAGCCAGTCTGTTCCAAGGTAAATGAGGCTTCTGCAGATTTTCAGATATCTTTACCAGAGGATCTTTGAAATATTCAAGTATCTTAGACCTTGCTGTTATTCTTGGAGTTGTACGGACAATGCTGCCGGCAGGGCAGCTGCCTAGAAATGAGCTTTACTGCGCTGTTTGCTGCCGGGTTCTCTGTGACTGCACCAGCACTTCTTACATTTCCCATCCGCGGAATCACACGTACATGCGAGGCACTATTATCCATTTCCCTCTCCTGCTACCGGATAATTTTATTTTTTTCTTCCAAAGTGTTCTCCTGCTGATTTACAAACTGTAGCCTGCTCCACTAGTGCCAAGCTACCCACTGCTTCTGGAGCTACCGAAAAGATTGTACGTGAAGGCATAGATCTTTCCTGTTCTGCTCACTGCTTTGGTGCAGCCTTTCCAAAGTTACCAGCTGGTAGTTGTTTTTCCTATGCTAAATGCTTAAAAAGCCCTGCATGTTATGTTTCTAATGAAAACCGTCAACCCTGAGCTAATAAACTTCCTGTTGTCCTTATTTCCAAGGTAAGGGAGAAAGAAATCGGCAGGCTGTTAAGGGGTGAATCTGCAGGCAGAAGAACTGTATTCTTTAATCCCAAAGGGAAACTATCCTTAGTCACTAAAGTGCATCCCAGCAGCAAGCTCAGGTCTTTCCTGCATAGGCTTATTTCTGCCTTACTGTTAATTATACCATATGAAGTGCCAAATCTAATTCTCCTCTCTCTCTCTCCTCCGCCTTCCCTCCTCCCCTGGCAGCTCAGGTTCCAGACAGCGATGAGCAATTTGTGCCTGACTTTCATTCAGAAAACCGTAAGTAGCACGGGGAGATCACGCATCTCGGGGGAGAAGGGCAGGATGCACTTAAACCAAACAGCTACGCAAGTGCAACACAGACACGGAGGCTAAAGGACTCATTTTACTCCTACCTTGTCGTGATGGTGACAAAACCCCATGCTAACTCTCCACATCTTTGTGTGGTGGTAACTACCACAGTCCCTTATGCAGAGCGGTTTCAACAGATGTGTATTTTAGTTAGTGTATGTGTGAATAATTAGGCACCCCTGAACAGCTGAGAAAATGCATTACTGTGACAATCAAAGGTAAAATTTGTGCTGTTACTCCTCCCAAAGAAAAGAAATTGGACTGTACGTGGGATTATGGGTGCTGTGTCTCCTGCAGGTGCTTTTTTGGGGTTCTGCTCACCCGCGTGGCCCCTGGCTGAGCATCTGCTGCCAGCGCGGCCCCTGTGAGACGATGCTCCTGCCTGCTGCCTGCCACAGCACGAGGGCACAGTCTCCCTGCAGAGCTACGCTCGCTGGCCTGCTTGCGCCGTCCCTGGGAACCGTCCCCTGGACAAACTGCGCATGTTTGCACGGGAGAGTACAGACCGTACCACGAATGCTTGCTCTGAGAACTGGTCGAAGCGCTTCACCTCGCAAAGGAGCTGAACGTTGCGCGGGTACACGTGTGCGTGTAGGAACCTTCCACCCAGCGGCCGTGCAGCTCTGCTGTTCTCGGGCAGGGCCTGCTCCACCCGGTCCTCACAGCACGCCGCCGTTTCATTCGGAAGCTGATGCTGGGCTAGGACTAATGCCTGGAGTGAACGCAGACTGTTCTGAGCAGCTTTCTGTTGCAAGCAGCCACAGGAACGCGGGGCCTGACTTCGACAGGCGTGTCAAGGCCACAAGAAGATGCCTCACCGTTCCCTGGGCATATACGTGTCTGGCAGCTAACTGAGACTAGAGATGGCCATTTAAAGCTGGCGCAGTCAACTGGTGCCCTTCCTACGCTGATAGCCCTCTCTGCCCAGGGCAGTTTTCCCAACAAAAACTAAAATGAAGCACTTCTACCAGTTGCTCTTGGCTACCTCCTTCCCCTGGACTTGGCCCTGCACCACAGCCGGGCTTGCTCTCCGAGTCATATATCTTGTTTCTTACTCTTTTTGACCTAGAACCGAGGGGTGGGCTGGTCCCATGCTTCGCTCTGACCGAATGAATGAGCCAGCTGTAATGCGATAGCCTGCTCCAGCTATTGGGGGTGGAAAGAGTTGGCTGCTCCTAGCACATCTAACCTCTTGAAACTTCAGTGGAGTTCAGTGTACCGGACAGAGCAATTTTTTTTTTTTTTTCCCCTCAAGACTCGGCCGACACGTCAGCATTTTGAGATGGGTTCAATATATCTGTTTACTCCATACATTGAAAAGAGCTGCTGCAGACAGAAGGGAAACGGATGCCCCAGGCTCAGACAGACCCTTTTCTCTCTCGACCCTTCCCTGGGCCCGGGGTGTTTGCGCGGGTGCAGGAGCGCCGTGCCTGGGGTACCGAGCGCACCCCGGGTGCGGGGCAGGCCCGCGGGGTCAGCGCTGGGAGCTGATGGGGAGCAGCCCCGCTGTGACTAATGGTGGCCCAAGGACTGGCTGCGGGAGCCGGCTGTCCCTGAGAAGCATCAGGAGCCAGAAACAACACGAGGCCCTGGTATCTTATGGATTTATTCATTTATATTGATTCTGTCAAGCTGTTTGGATCCCTTTGGGAGCTGGTGTGATGTGGAGAGTAAAGATGGGCTTTCCTGGTGTAGGCTGAAACTGAAGGCAGGCAAAAGGAGTCAGGTTTCTTTTTCCCTTCTTGCTGAGAAAATTAATTTGGGGGAGGGATGTTCACAACAGAAAGTGGCCTTAATATTGTGTGCTAAGAGAGACAGCAGCAGCCCTTTCGCCAGCCCTTTCGCTGGCTGCTTGCTGCAGCGCTTCTGAAGGGACAGTTGGTCCTCGTGTGAGGGAGAACGGGCCGAGGATGGCTGGTGCACGTACAGGGCAGGTCACCCTGAAATAAACTCAGCAAAAAAATGAGGTATTAACAGATCGGGATGTTGCTTTCCATCCTTAAAACTGTCATCACAGCTCGAACATCCCAGGCTTTGTAAGCAGCATCGTGTCAGCTTGAAGAGGTGGGAGTAAGCTGGCAAAGCAGGGCTGGAGCTAGCCTTACCAAAAGCTTACAGTTTTGATTCGGAGGGCAGATCTTCCTCTTGTTTGAAAAACAAGCCCAGACCTATGTGCTTTTCTGGGGTTATTTTTCTTTCCTTCCAAAGTGTCCATGACCCCCTAACAGCAGCAGCAGAGCCCAGAGGCAAAGGGAGAAGACGCTTGCCATGCCCTTCAGCCAGGATAAGCTTTTCTGAGGAACTAGCGAAGGAAGTTTTGCTCTCTGCTGGATTTAATTAAGCACAAGAAGTAACAATACCCACATCCGACTTCCTGGTGCTGTAAACTGCAACCCACATTTGTTATTCATGAAATTCTAACCAGCCCAGGAATAGCCTCCTCGTCCTGCATCAGGCCATGACCACAGTGCACCGAGAATGAAAAGGAACCTTTTTACTTTTTCCCTGGACTGTCACTGGTGTTTTGGACGAGCAAAGCAGTTAGGAGATTCCCCCAGTCCCGCATTCAGGGCTGTCAGACTGGTAGCACAGGAGAGATTCAACAAAGGGAAGCCGGCACGGGGAGCTGCTGAGTGCCAGCGTGGCAGCCTCCCGCCAGGAATCACCGTATCCTGTAGAAGGGCCCGGCCTTTTTCCTGAGTGCAAAGTATAAACCTGATACAGTCAATGAAATCGGGTCCCTCAAAGGGAGGCTGCTGAGGACTGCAAGCTGCTCTTCGACCTCCGAGGTATATCATAGTGAAAGCAAGGACTTGGAAGCCAGACTTCTGTTTTGTACTGTGCTTTAACACCGATGCAGTTCCTTTGGAAAAGGGATTTAAGCTAGCTAAATTGGTTAGGTGCTTCTGAAAACACTACTTGTATAAGGTGTCTGTGAGCAAGTTAGCCTGGTGACAGCCTGTAATAATATGCAATACATCTAATAGTATTTTCCCATGGAAAACCTTCAGCTTTTGTAGGTATGTCTACAAAAACCTTACATTTATTGTCCTACAGGACAAACGATACTATCAGGAAATCTACAATGTGTCATCATATTAGTGCATTATAATTTAATGCAGTGCTGCATGGTACTGCTACTCACAAGACATGCTTACCGGGTGTGTCAAGGAAAGAGCATTTTGCATGATGAAAATCAAAACTTGGCTTTTATGTGTTGGAAAATAGAGTATGTGCATGCTGCCTCTCATGACATAACAGCAAATGTCTGTCCCAGCCCTGAACAGCTTAGGAAATACCCACTCTAGATCCTTGTCAAACTGCTCTGGATTAGCACGGAGCATGTTAACACTACCTTAGATTTGCTCCTTTAAGGTTGGTGTGTCGTACAAGCCTTACTAAATCCAGGGCAGAGCTCCGGGAGGTCCAGTGAACAGCTGTGCGTACTGGTACCGTGCTTGTCTCAGAGCCAGCTGAACAAGGACAAGGTGGTGGCATCTCAATTGACTTTGGACTGGCTGATAAAAGCATCTCCCCAGAAACAAGAAAAGCGTCAACTGGATCTTTCATTTCTCTCCCACAGTAGCTTTTCACAGTCCTCCTGCTAAGATTAAAAAGGAGCCGCAGAGTCCCTCCTCGGACCCCACCCTGTCCTGCAACCATCAGCAGCCATTCCAGTACCACAATGGCGAGCAGTGCCTTTACGCCAGGTAACGCAGCTTACGCAGGGGAGAGGCAGGAGCTGTTATGAACTCAAGGGCTACTGCAGTGTCTGATAATGACGTGTCATGACAACAAGCTGGTCTGTCCGCTGGGTGAGGGCATGTACACGTGCTGCAATACGAATTAAGCAGTGGGTCAGCTCATGGCAGCCGTGTCTTGTACCAGATAGCTCAGGCCTCTGTAGAGTGGATCTGGGCTTGCCTCTTTTCTTCGCCCTAGTGCTGTTCCTCAGCTGTCCTGATGCTGAGAGCAGGTTTGACATCTGTCCCATGCCTCTCTCTCCCCATTGCGTTCCCAAATCTGTCCCGCAAGGAGCTCCCTGACACCCTTGCCCGTGGTCCCAGCCATTTGCCTGAGTGATGGTATGGCTTCCTCAGTGCAGACACCTTCCTCAGTTTTCTGCTTGAAGGGTTATTGCTATTGTGCGTGGGGGCAACCAACAATCAGAAAGGAAGGAGTTTATGCTGGGAGTTTTCTGGCCTCGGTGGCTGCAGAGAGGGACAACGTGTCTGCCTGCGACGCGTTCTTCCCAGGTGCTGCCACAAGTCCTTGGAGAACTGTAATGCTCCAATATCTGTTTGCCTGTCCCAGTGCCTACGATCAACCCAGACAAGCTGGAATCAAGTCCCCCAACCCCGGAACCCCGATACAGTCACCGCTCCAACAGCTCCCTAGACAGGACAGGAGCTTCCTGACCCCTGCGGGGCCACCCCCCCCCACCTCCAGCTGCGGATACCTCAGCGAGAACAGGTGAGTTACTGCCAGGAGGAGGCAGCCACTGGCAAGAAGGATTGCCCTCCTGGGGGATTCGGGGATGAGGGGCTGCAGTGTCCAGATTAAACTGCTCAGTTTCCAGCAATCCAGGATCCCCCCATCCAAAGTACCTGGCACCCACCGCTGCTGCCTGGGGTCTGAAGAAGTCTATAACCTTAAGCCCGTCAGATTCTGTGCATGATGGGCTGTGTAGCTGTCCTTGGAAACATCTCTCACGGGGGTCCCTTCCTTGCCCCAGCCATGCGCGCAGCTCCTACAGCCCCAGTAACAGGCTGCGGCCGAGGAATTTTCTGTCCCTCAACCAGCCCTGCGCCAGGGCCGAGATCAGAGGGCCAAGAAAGCAGCCATCGCACGTCCTCTCCCCTCTTCTAGCTCTGCGTACCAGCCACCCGTGGAGATGTGCCGTTCCTTCCCCTCCTCCCGGGGCATGGCCCAGGACGACCCCGCTGCCTACCAGCGCCCGATGTCCGAGCCCTGCCTCCAGTACCCTCACCAGGGCTTCAAACAGGAGTACCACGACCCGCGCTATGAGCACGCAAGCCGGGCGGGCAGCAGCCGTCAGTACCCAGCAGCCGTGGCGATCAAGCAGGAGCAGGTGGACTACGTGTATGACTCAGGTAGGCAGAATTAGCTTGGTCTGACCGTGTAAACCAGGCACCGGGGGGTGAGCAACCTCCTGGGTGCACATCCCTCACCCGTGGTCTTTGGGCTTTGAATCATTGCTGCTTCGTCTTCAGGAACATGTGTGGCCTGGGAAACTGGCTGTGGAGCGGGAAATGCAAACAGTTCTGTCTGTTTGCTGCACCCCAGAGAAGGCTGGGACCTTCGCTTTCCGTACCGTGTTCTGAGAAGGACTTTCTGGTAGACGGGAAAGCTTTAACAGGACATAGCAGCTAGAAGGTGATGTTAAGCCCATTCAAACTAGATTAAAGGCATGCATTTTTTTCCCAAGGGAATAAGTAGCCATTGGGGAGACTCTCAAAATTCATAATTAGCCCACTCACACCATCAGAAATGGAGAAAAGGGCGGTCCCAGTTTCACAGGGAGTTTTTGTCTTCAGGGGGATGTGTGAGCTGGTAGGTCGTAGAAAGGCAGAAAAGTGAGGTCAGCTTTGAAGAAATTATACTGAAAACGCTCTGTAAACGGCAGCAGAAAGGAAGGAATCAAATATCTTGGAGTTTGTACAGAAAAGCTGTCTGGGATCCCTGCAGCAGGAGGGGACCTTCAAGCCCTGGCAGAGGAAAGCTGCTCTGGGTGCAGGGATCGCACTGCACAAGCCCGAGCTGCAGCTCCTGACGCTGCCTGGCCCTGTGCCTTTTCCCTGCCTGAGCCAGAAGAATTTAATTCACAGAAGGGAGGCGAAGCCGTGGCTCTCCCAGCCCCGCAGGCAGGCGGCAGCTGCCCCTGCCGGGGTCACTCGCCGGCAGCCAGCACCCACTGGAAACTCGCTGCAGCAGCCTACAGGGAGAGCTGATGCCCCGTTTTGGAGCTTACCGTGCCAGATAAACCAGCTTCGTTCTGAGAAACAGATCTAAAAGTCTAAAACTAAAACAGTCTAAAGAGACTTGGGTGGCTAACAATAAACTGGCCAATTCCGAGGACAGGTATAAGCGCAGAGCGGGGTCTGGGTCAACGGGGCCAAGAGCAAGTGTGCTGCTCTGCGTCTCGTAGTGTCAACCTCCACCTGCTGCTTCCCACAGAAACAGAGAGCAGAGACTTCAGAGGCTCACAGGAGAACAAAGTTTATAATTCCAAAAATAGCTCTCTAGATACCAGATTAATCAGGTAATCCTCTTATTTTTCCACAAGGGATAAATCTGATTTTTTCAGCAGACCTGTCCAAAGACTTGCTACCCTGCCATCGCAATACCCTCTTCTAGAGGGAAGGTTACTTCTGGTTTCCTGGTATTTTAACGGACATTCTGAATGGTTTCCTTTAGCAGAAATAAATATGTAAATAAAAAGCTCCTGTGAGGTTATTGAATCCACCACTGTGGCTGTGCTGATATTACACTTTCACTGGGTCCTTCTGTCCAGACAGAGGAAGAAAATGTGCAAACCCAGAGGAATGCTTTTTGCGGGAGTAGTTTATGATTGTAATAATACGCAATCTGTCAGCTCAGAGTACCCTCCTGCCCTTAGCATCAGCAAAATGTCTGCTGAAAGCAATGCCTATATGCAGGAGCATGAGGGAAATGTAAGGCAAACCTTTCCAAAGCTCCCACTTCAGCTTCCATTTCAGCTGTGGATGGAAAATAGGCTTGGTTCAGAAAATGCAGGATTCAGAAAACACAAGATACAGAAGATATAAATTACGGTGCCCAGGCAACAATATATGCTGCACAGAGATCATGAAGACTTTCTGCTTGTTTTCAAATTCGGGCTATTTTTCCTTTATGTTTTCTCAACTGTTTGTGAAAATGCCCTATCATGATGTGAAAAAGCCAGGGAGACTTAAGGCAACAGAGATGACATTTGTGAAACATTGTTTGTAGTAAACATTCGGATGCTGCTGCTCTCCATTACCATCATCATAGTACCCCTGGAAAAACGTAACGCCTTCTCACCGGTGAAACCAGCAGCGGAGTGCATGGTTATCTTGAACTAAGACGAGGGAGAGGCGTCATACAAATTTAGCCTATTGTCCAAGATTTTGTCTTGAGTGGTGTAGAGGTGAGTGGCTGGCTAACCCGGCTACTCTGGAGGAAGCCGTGGGATAGTACCACAAAAATGTACTCGTGCAATTCATGACTGGAAGCATGATGAAGTTGTGGTGGGATGGCTGAGACATAGCCAGTTACCAGTCTGCCACTAACCCTTTAGGAGGACCTTGGTTAGACAGCTGCCCTTACCTATCCACCTCTGGAGAGCAAGATCATTCTGCCTCCTGTGCTTTTTAACTCAATGACTTTGTTAATTGTTCTGTAGATGTTCCTGGCTGTCCTTCCATGTACATAAATGTTGAGAGTTACCCAAGCCATTCAAATACAGAAGACACATTAGGTAAGAAACTCGGTGACTGTCGTCTTTTCCCTGCGCTGCCTTGCCCTGGAGCACTGCCCTGTTGTGGTCTATGACTGCCTGTGTTCCCTTCTCTTTCAGGCTGCAGCTATGACAAGCAGATGAGGCCCTTCACTGATGATGTCTGTGTCGTTCCAGAAAAATTTGAAGGTCGGAGAAAGAATGGCTTCCAGTTTGGGTGTAAGATAGGGTTATCCAGCATCTTTGCTAGCCACTTGACCACTGTCTCCATAGTTCGTTACACTGTGTTCTTACAGGTGTGTTAGCTGTGGTTCATACCTGGCTTTTTGGTATCCCATTTCTTGAGCTTTCTTAGCAGCAAACAGGCCTTCTAGCGTAAGTAGCCTAATTGTGACTTTCATCAGAGCTCCTCTTGTAAGAGCTGCTGGTGACTTGGCCGCTCTGTTTTATGTGAACTGCAATATTGCAGGTAAACATTTGAGAAATGTGTTTGGGTTATTTTGCAACTGTTTTTGCACTGCTACCCTTGGAAACACCTTGTTTGTTCTTCTCAGCAGGAGACCTCAAGCAGGAAGCCGGAGGGTACCGGGAAGGGCCTCCGTACCAGAGACGGGGATCTCTCCAGCTCTGGCAGTTTCTTGTGGCTTTATTGGATGATCCGACCAATTCCCACTTCATTGCCTGGACTGGTAGAGGGATGGAGTTCAAGCTCATTGAGCCAGAAGAGGTGAAACCACTCAGCTTCTCTACAGCGTCAGGGGAGCGGCCGCTGTTTCTGAGGCTGCAAATTCCCAAGTGGCTTTTCCGCTGCCCTGGAAGGCTCCTGCCTACCAGTGGTACTCACTAGACCCTGCAGCAAGTCAAGGTTTTTAGAAGGGGTCAAAATGCTTGGGTGACACACATATCAGGTTTAAGAAAGGCTGCTTGTAAGCTTAGAGTCTCAGCAATGCAGTGAGCCAAATCACCCACTGCCTCCACTTCCCGAGACGCTTCACTCTCAGGCTGGCAGGGACTTGTGCTGCCTTGTCATGCTCCATATTGAGGCTGTCCTTGCGGTTTGGAGTTTTGAACGCTACTGGTCACGGAAGTTTTCATAAAAATCTGGAAGAAACTATGTCCTAGTCTAAATATATTTTTATATCAACATGACCTTAACTAAGGTGTACTTTCTAATGCTGCCGTGTTCCAAAAACCCCAGCGATACCTGACAGTATGTGGGAGATGTGTCTGTAATGTCTGGTCACATCTTGCACCAGTTAGAGCTGCGCTGTTCTTGCTACCTATCAACCTCTACGGGCACTTTTGGTGCAGATGAGTTGTTTCGGTGGGCTGACATATGCCTACAACAGATTTCTGAGTCTCACGGACAAGGCTGAAAATCAAGTAGTAGGAGGAAGAAAGGCACGTGGGTCTCCCTTGCACTTGGGCTCCTGGTAAACGTGGGATCCTTGAAGATAAAGCGTAGCGTAGGACGAAGCAGTCCCTTAGCATCCTCAAGCTTTCAGAGTACTGGAGAGCGAGGAGAGGTGGTGACAGCAAATGAGCTCTGTAGTGGCAAGGAGAATGCCTCTCTGCAATACAGGGTGCTTCAGTTTGAGTTCTACTCTTCTTGCTGAAAAGCTGCTAAATAATTATTGTTTGAGTCTTATTTAAATGTTGTAAAAGTTTCTGTGTGTTGTGGTACCATTCCTCAAAAGAGATCAGCTGGATCATGTTCTTTTGCCCTTGGGTGGGGTTCACAGACGTTCATGCACGTTTGACGCTTTATTCTACAGGTGGCCAGGCTGTGGGGCATCCAAAAGAACCGTCCAGCCATGAACTACGACAAGCTGAGCCGATCCCTTCGCTACTATTACGAGAAAGGCATCATGCAGAAGGTCAGTTTGCAAAGCAGATGGAGTTTTTATGCTTTTAGTGATGCTTCTCTCGTTAGAGGCAGAAGCCTTACAGGTACAGAATGTACTTGAGCTAGCCAGGCAGCCTCAGCTTGCTTCCCCCCGAACTTCTCTTTGCAGCAGTTAAATGAGGAAGGTGTAAAGGAGCTGAAGCTAGGCAACATAGGGGAAATAAAACAAAGGGGAATCATGACTTCTTTCTTTTTCCATATATGTCTGCAGTCAGGAGAGTTGGAATTTATGCAGTCGAAAGGACATACCATCAGCCTAGACTTGCTGTTGGTGAGAGAAGGGCTGCCCGGGGGCTGGTCCTGTGTGGTAGGGGACAGTCTCTCCAGAGCCAGGGCACTGGGGCAGACAACTGTGAGTGTCCCTGTGTCACAGCACGGACTGCTCAGGGACTGTCGATGCTGTTGCTACCTGGACACCGAGTCAGCTGCAGCAGCCCAGTTCCCAGGAGCTCTTCCAGGGGAGACCGGAGCAGCAGAGAAGCAGGAGGGCAGCACGAGGAGCAGTTTACGATTCTGACTTGTCTCGGGGCAGTGGGCTAGAGCAGCCAGATGTTTTTGCAAGCCTTCTCTGCTGCTGAGGAGCATTGCCTAGTGCTGCCTGCGTGCCCACAGCATTCATCTCCTGTCTTCCCTGTAGGTGGCCGGAGAGCGCTACGTGTACAAGTTTGTGTGTGAGCCTGAAGCCTTGTTCTCTCTGGCCTTCCCTGATAACCAGCGACCAACTCTGAAGGCAGAGTTTGACCGGCAGATCAGCGAGGAGGACACAGTGCCTCTTTCTCACCTGGATGAGAGTGCCGCTTATCTGCCGGACCTTGGGAGCCTCCCTCCACAGCTTTACAGCAAAGGCTACACATACTAGCACTGCTGGGAGCACACTGCGCCGCCCCTGCTTGTGTATATAAGGAGATGTCTGGTTAGTACTCAATCAGTATAAGCACTTTTCCAGGCCAGCCCAGGGCGGCACTAAACTATGAATACCTGCTTTGGTCAGGAGAAGTGTTCGGGTACCCATGTGGATAATCTCCTGACAGTTGGCAGGGCTCTTGCGTGCTTCTGATCAGACCCTCATATTTGTCAGGATGGGACTCGTTCTCAGCAATGCAGACACCTTCCGAGGAGCGGAGCTGCGGCTTCAGCAGCATATCAGATAATTGCTGCCTCCAGCCGGAACAAACGAGCCTGTCGCAGTCCCCGTCTTTGGCGAGGGAGGAGATGCCGTCCTACTGGGCTTTTCTTCAGCTGTGAGGATGCTACAATGCTGCTGCTGACTCTGGTCCTCCAGTACACGTACTGAACCTCCGTATAACCTGCCCTCAGCAAGGGAGGGCTCTGACCCACGTGGACTCACCTCTGCAAGGCCAGTCTTGCCTTCTTCCCAGGATGGCTGTAACCCAGCGGTCACAGATCGTACGCCTTCCCTGTGAACTGCTTTGTGGGAATGGGGAATACTTGTTGTCTTGCATGCACATGCTCCTGCCTTATCACCTCCTTGCTCACAACACTTGGTGCCAGGGCTATCTGCTCTTTAGGCACTGTCCGAGCAGGGTAGCCGGAGGCACTGGCTAGGATTAGAGCAGTCCTGGAGTATGTGGCACTACATATGATTTAGGGGAATTACAGAGCTGGCTGACTGCATTGGTCGGGGCACAGGTCAAAGCCAACGTCACCTTCGGGTAGTGGGATCGCAGGAGGCAGCAAGGCCTGAGCCACCAGTTCAGTGTAGTGTTGTGGCTTTTCCAAACTGAACGACTTCTTCAACAACCATCCTCAGGATCTTTGAAGAGCTGTCAGGCTCTTGAGTGTGCCCACCCTGGGCTTGGCTAGAAAATTGTCTGAGGCAAGAGAAGAACCTGGTGGAGGTGTGTTAAGAAAATGTTTTTCAAAGTAACCTAAACCATACATAGTTCTTAATATCCAAATTTAGACCTAACCTCCACAGATGTTTGCATGTTTGAGGGGAAATCCTGATGTGCTGGAAAGGCAGCTATCTCTGCAGCCCAATGCAGCACGTGCAACTTAACTAGACTTTGGCTGCTTTTCCACAATAGTGAACATTTAAAACGGGCACCACATCCTCACCGAGAGGTGCCTCACTTTTTAATCGGCAGCTCCGACCACGTGCCCGGTTAGACAAGGAGCAGTACGGTACGCCCATACAGAAAAAGCCTGTTTCCTACTGCTTCAGATCAATGTTCCAGCTGCTGAATACAGAGCATCACCAATGCTGCCAAAGTGGGAGCCTGCAGAGGAAATTGTGTGTGTTGAGAGAGAGCCTGATTCCTCCCAATGCCTCTCTCCTGCATGGCTAACGCCAACCCCCCCAGCCTTGCCCCGGGCACGAGGGCCAGGAAAGGCAGCGCTCCCTGCCTGAGGAGAGCCCAGATACTCGGAGCAGCCTGCTCTGCTGACGCCCTTGCTTGCCCTGTGCCGTCCAGAGACGTGGTGCTCCGGCAGCTCCTGGCCCTCCTGCCTCGCCCTGCTCCTGCCTGGCGAGCGCGCTTCCTCTGGTGTCCCAGAAGCGAGGGTGAAGGGGAACTCTTCCATTGGTATGAGCTGCCTTTACTATTTATGAGTGTAAAAATACTATAATTAATAAATTGGTCTATGTCTTTGGCCAGTGCACCTTCATTCAGCCCCTGGCTAGTCCTCCCTGACCTTCTGAGCTTGCTTTGCCCATCTCCTTGGCACCAGCCTGCAGCTTTGGGTAGCTGATCCAGAGTTCAGGGATGCGTGTTTACTTCTGAATCCTGGTGGAGTTCAAGAAACAAACGCTTCACTCCCTTGACATCCTCAGAACCGGTCATACAACCCGGACTGAAAGATCATGATGAAATATGTAACCTCCGGCTGCAGAGAACATCGCCCACGCTCCCGCCCTGACAGTACGCTGGCCACCGAGCCAAGCTCCATGGTTTCAATTAGCTTTTCCCTGAACTCCATCTCTGTCTCGAGCAGCGGCACTTCAGGTTGCCTGCTAGGGCGGTGAGCGTGTTGCCACCTGCTGAGCCGGTAACGGGACTAGGGCAGCACAGGGCACGCCGGCAACGAGTGCGGCAGAGCCAAGGGCCCTGCCGGGACGCAGCCACCCCCACCGGCCTCGGCAAAGGCTACAGCACAGACAGGAGTCACCCTAAGTGGAGGAGCCCTTTCACGCTGCACCTTCCTCAAGAGAGTCGGGCACCTCCTAAAGGAAGTATTTATGCCTTCTGGAGGCAAAATGTAGGTGCAGGTTGTACCCTGCCGCCACAGCGTTGCTAATGAATGAGAGTAGTAGCTTGCTTTGATATCTCAATCTGCAGGATTCCCGAGGATTTTACATTTATCCAGTATTCTTTGGGCTACCCTCTGCCCAGCCAGTCTTCCTTCAGAAAGGGAATTCAGGGAGCTGGTTCACATTTGGATGAAATTTTAGCTCCATGTTTCGTTCAGGTTTGTCAAGTCAGTGCAGCAGATCGATAGCTGCAGAGCAGTTCTGGGAATCGGCAAGATCAGGTTCTCATAATGGAGGGGCAGTGACCTCCAAAGGGCAGAGGTTTACAATAAGCAGATCAGAGAGCTGGGAGTCAATCGATACACTCCGCGTTTCCAGTTCGGCAAGACAGAGGCAGCTGATTAGAGAAAGCTGCTGGAGGTAAGAGACAAGTGTCATGAACTCCTCCTGCTGCTCCTGAAGGGGCCGGCCCCGTCCCACCACACGACGACGTTTCAGCTTTGCTAGCTAGTCACTCACGCTCCTGTGCACACAGCAAAGCTGCGACAACTCTCGGCCCAGGGAGCGGAGCTGTCTGTCCCCGAGCTGACGGCTTTCGGCACCAGAGCAGGGAGCGGTGCACGTCACCGCGTGGCAGCACCTACGGGCAGCGCAACACGCCCTCGAATCAGTATCCCGGCACCATACAAATTCACAGCTGAGCCTCACTCTGCATTAGGCAGGTAAGACAGACATCGTTCTTCTTCATGGAAAACCCTCTGAAGACAGAGTTCTGCTCATGACAAACACCCTGACACCTGGATGCAAACATACCTAACATTCGCAGGCTTTTTTACTATTGTTTACTCATTATATTCAAGATTTATTCTAGCAGCTTATTCCTCAGGATGTGATGATGCTTTGGGACCAGCCAGAAATAAATCCTCAGCAGTCATTTCTTCCTAACTTATTTTTTTCTAGAATTATTTTTTTTCCGTGTGGTTGCTATTGTTGCAATGGCTTTGCTGTTACTCTTGCTGTATCAACAGTACCAAGCCCAGCAGGAAGCACCATAAATCTGTTACCCAGAACATGACGCAGAGTTCCTTTCTGGTCATAGTAAATAATTAACACGTAACATCACAGCCGTCCCAGATGTACCCTTAGGCTGTGCTGTCTAGGGCAAAGGAATCACCCCTAGTATTAGCGGGTTGCCAAGCAGAGCGGAACTACCTGATGCAATTTGCTGAGGCTAACCCAGGAAATGTTTCCGTTACCGGATTCCATACCCTGAAATATGTACGAACAGCGATAATGAAGAACAAGGACAGCAGCAAATCTCACTTTACAGGTTGAGCACTGAACGGGAAGGCGAGAGAGTTATTAGAAAGTGAATTCATCTTCAGGCCGTGCGCAGCACGTGTGTCACCTGCGAGGCAAAGCCCCGACAAGGTGCCTAGGGCCTGGGGCAGGTCGGAAGGGGCGATGCACCGTTCCCAGCAGCGCTGAGAAGAGTGCCAGGATGAGACCTGCCGGGATCGAATTCTGGCCTGGCCCAGTCAAGACTCCAAAAGCCACGTGAACCGAGCAGCGTCACCTCAAAAGAAGAAGAGCAGCAGATACCCTGTGGTGCCATTCCTGCCCCACCACACAGCGCCTGCCGGGAGCATCGAGCTCTCTGTACCAGCCAGATGCTCCCGGGTGCAGCATGTTCTTATTCTCACCTATTTAAGAGGCTCAGCAGAGCAGAGGAAACCAGAGCTGGCCGTGGCCCCTTCTGGTCAGTGCTTTTAACTAAATGGAGATGGTGGAGAATTAACCAAAGGCAAGAGAGGCCTAAGAATTGATAAGGCTTCTCCCCACACCTCTGATAGATTTTTTCCCAAACTCCAAGAAAATCTAACACTGGATTTCCATCAACAGGCGTTTCAGACCCTGTCACCGTGGCAGACCTAAATGGTAGAAACTAACACCGATGTTCCAAAATAGGCAGGGTCTGCCCCGGACTACGGGTGACCCAGTTCACTTCCACCTCCTTGCCTTTTTTCTAGTAAAAGTGAACTAATATGGAACTCAAACAGGAGACTTTTCTACACAACAAAAAAGCGCTGCTTTCAGTGTAGCTTGCAGAGCAGCGCTGTGTTTGGACAGACCCCCAGGCCCCCCAGCTACAAGAACTACAAGATCATTTTTGATGCAAATTAACCGGCATATCCAGATCAGCGCAGCCCCGCTTCCCCACCGCCAGTGTACAGACAGACCAGCCGGAGGATTGATGTAGGTTACAGAACATAGACATACAAAACACATTTGCTAAAATCAGAACCTCACTTGCTGTATTCCCAGCTGGCTTGAAAGAACAATACATTCATAAATGAAAAATTCCATGAAACTGCTAATGGGTCAGTACCACAGCCTTCTGCAATTGTCACAGACATCTCATGAAAACGGAATTACCAAAAAACAAAACCCCCATTGTGTAAGTAGCACGTTGCTGTCACACTGGCTCTGGTAACAAGCCCGTTAATGAGGTTAAGGTAGTTACTATAACAGATGGAGCATGTGCGGGGCTGGCTGTAAAAATCATATTTCTCTTTCTTGCATTAAGGGCAAAAGGTTGGTTTTGGATGTGTGTCAGTGTGTGTGCGTGTACACGTGAACGTGTTACTCACTCTTTGGCTGTGAATCCTTTGCTGGCGACAATCAGCGTGGAAATCGGCCGATGGCACAGGCTGGAGCGCTGGAGACAAAGGATCCTTTGCTCCATCCGTTCAGAAAGATCCACAGCTCCGCAGGCAGAATGAAG